ATTTGTCCGATTAATCTTCTAATATGCCGCCTGTTTTAACAACGCTCTATGACCATTGAACTGACATGATATTTACTGACACATCCATTCTATCTTGTTGATGCTCGGGTTGATAATGTAGTTTGCAGGGTATCGTCTACAGAGCACAAGACCTGATGGTGGCAGCATCAACTTGTGCCTTGGCTGTAGCTCCATTGGCATATGCCACTGCTGTTAATTCCTGTGCAAGAAAGGTACATGAGAATTACTAACCATAATCACAAATGAAGTGCAGCCATAACCATATAGACATTTTGTTTTTTTGTCTTTGGATGCAGTGGTTTTAGTGTTAATGTCTAAGTAATGCGGAGATGCTATGTTGCAATGTGGGTGCTTGTCAGAATTGTCCTCATGATTCCTTTAGTGGATCTCTGTAACCATTGTCATTTGTTATGTATGTGAATGAATCAGAGTGCCCTGTTTATAAGCTAATGTTTTATTCATTGTTAACTATGCCTCTGATTACTGCAGTATTGCACGCTGCGCTCTGGAATAAAGCACATGAGATTCTTTTTCATGCTTTGTACCTGTATTTTCAATCTCTCATCTAAATATGAAACTAGTTTGTTCATGGTTGATATGTGATGTAATTAAAGTATGTATGAATATTTCCTTTTGGAATTTGTTGAAGAAGGAATATTTTAAAGCTGGTAGGACTGAAAACATCCATGGTGGAAGCAAAAACTTAAATTTAGCTAAACTGGAGATCAGTTTTCATATGATTTAAACTTTCATGTTTGTGGCAATCCTGGTTTAACTGTGCTGATCTTTGTCTAAAGGGGATATTGCTTAAAGGAGGCCACATTCTAGATGCTTTAGCTTCCTGCCAACAAAATATAAATGGAAGAAAAACGTGCCTTCTTATTTATTGCTTTTCATTGCTTCCCCCATTGATTTCGTTTTGGTTTGATAGCCAGAAAGAGTTATTTCAACTTATTCAATGGTCTAGGTTTTTCTCACTGGTGTCTTCATTGTATGCATGTCGTGTCATCCCAGCTTCTCAGTTTGAATTGTTTCTCATTGCCTTACCCTACCTTATCTATCTTGTTGCACCATTAGATGTTTCATTGTTTGGTAGCAACAGGTGAAAGATCCTTTGTGTTCTAGGGGTTTTTCTTATTAGTGAAGGCTTTTGTAAATATCAGAGCAAATGTAATTGAGTGGAAGGAGGTTCTAGGGTTAAGCAATCTCTGTTTAAGGAATGATCTGAAGTTGATGGGTTCTCAAGTTGTTCTAATGGAATTTTGCATGTGTATGCAACTTACAGTGATTTTCTGAACAAATTTTGGAATTTTATTACAGGAGGGGGTCTGGTCATGGTCACGGTCGGAAGGTATTAATTATGCACCAGCTCTCGCTGCTGCAACTGTAGGGATTGTGCTTGCTCAACGGGCCACTGCAACTGCCATAGCTGTTGCATGTGCCCTTACTGCTAAGGGATGCCATACCTGGTGTTCCATCCTGTAATATATTAAGTCTCCCCAAAGAACTTCCCTGGTACCTGTCTATTTCTATCTCCTTTCCATTTGTTACTTTCTTGGCATAAAGTTCTTGAATCCTCATTGCTTGTGCAAATTTACATGCAGTTCGAGCAAAATGCAGCCCTTGCATTAACATCTATATTTCTGGCCTTCCTTCCATCCATTTTGAATTTCCTTCCTCTCTGGTCAACGGTATGAATCTCTTTGATGGTCAGCTCAATGAACTTCATTATTGATTTGTTTCCCGAATGTTTTTGTCGTGATAGCTTCTAATTCTAGGATATTGGAATGTTCTTTGAGAACATGTCTGGAATAGATTCCACAGAAAAAATTTAAACAGCAGTTTTCCATCATGTGATGTTTCTTTCATTGAAACTTCGCTCATTAATTAGTTATAAACTGATAAAGGTTAGTTTATCCTTCTTGGTCCCATGATGGGACGTCCTAAATTTAAGGGAAGTATGAAGTTAATCATTTGTAAGTTTGTAAATGGCGTGTGCGGTTTGATACTTGAGAATACTTGTGGTTTGATTCTGAAGAACACTTAACCAAGAGCTCAACTTGTATGTACCTTTTGTTGTCAGTTTACAGGACAATGCAGCTAAAGCTATCTCCATTAGTTGCTCAAGTTTCTGTTCATTTTTGCAGTTTTGAGATAGCTTCACTTTCTAGCTCGTAGTTTATTACTATTTATCAAAAGAAACAGAAAAGGTCGTTTATTACTGATTTTCATTGCTAAATTATCAGGTTCTCCACTTAAGCTCTTCTCATGGGCCTCGATTGTATACGTGCTCTGATTGATGCTCTGAGCGATCCCGAATGGTCCTGGAGGGAAGATTTGCAGCAAGTTGTGAAATCCAGAGTGATGTTAATGATGACAGATGACACAAGCTCAAGCACCATGGAGGCAGCACCTTTGTGACTCACACGGGGTTTTTCGAGCTTCCTCTTTCTCTCTTTTTTTGTGTTTTTACGTATTTATTTTTGGTGGGTGAGAGTTGCTATCACAGATGGACCATTCTTGCACCTTTGTGACTCACACGGGGGTTTCTCGAGCTTCCTCTTTTTTTTTTCTTTTTTTTTTTGTGTTTTTACGTATTTATTTTTGGTGGGTGAGAGTTGCTATCACAGGTGGACCATGCTCTCAAGTTTGAAGAGA